TATATATATATATATATATATATATTTTTTTTTTTTTTTTTTTTTTTCAGACAGTCTACAAATACTCAAATGGACCATCAAAATATAACGTGTTACAAAAAAAAATAATAATAAACAATTGAATGATAATAACTTAATGCAGGCTCTGTAATTAATACCACTCAGATGCTGCACCAACATAAAATTTCCCAAAACGTACGAAGCTTTTATGCTTGCCGCATTCGCCCTTGTGATATTCTTTAAAACGTCAGGGGGCGGTCAAAAAACCCACCGTAAAATCCGATAAACAGAGAAGTAGGACGTTTCAGTAAACACGTCATATCAGTAATATCATTCAATATTTTTAAACTAATTATTTTTATTGCTTTTATTATTTTTTTTAATAGTTATAAGGATTTTTATAACCATTCAAGATTTTTTTTTAAACCAAACTTTGATGTATCACTTGCTTTTGTTCAAATCTCGGACAGTTTTATCTATTCAAATTTATTAAAATATTAATAAACATGGGTTGCTCTGCAAATATGTTTTATTATCGAAAAAATAAAAGCAAAAAAAGTACCCTTACTAAAAAATACAGATGTTTTTTTTTTTTTTATTCAGCCCGCTTCACAATTCAGACATTGCTGTCTGACTAGTTTCTATTCTATACTTATGCTAAAAAGGCAATAAGAGTCCAACATTACAGATCATTATCACCAATAAAGCCCAGAAAAACAGGGCATCAGTATTTTGTTAACCGATAGGTTCAAATATTCCTTTCCAGTTCTCAAAGAAATAATTTGTTTGTTAAATATAGTTTTGCAACAATTAAAATGTTTTAAATTCAAAATTGTAGCATATACATCAGTGTAAATCCTATAAACGGTGGATAAAACATTGTCACAGTTTCAGGTTTGTGCGCTCTTCCGGAGTGTCTGTTTGATCATGTGGGTTGGTTTTGTTTTTGTTCTCCACGTGTATCTGTTTTGATCACGTGTGATGACGGCACTCAGCTGGCTTGATGAGTCCGCCAGCTGAGGCTCATATTCGTGCCAATATATGGGCGACGTTTTCTGTGTGTCCTTGTCAGGTCGTTACGTGTGCTTATGTGTGCTATTCTGTCTGTGCCAAGGACCGTGAGGAGTTTCTTCTAGAGCCTGTTATCCTGCCTGATACCTGCCCTGTTCTCCTTGCCCTAGCACCGCACTCATTTCTTGCACTTGTTTTTGAGTTTGACTGTGTCAATAAATACTTTTTGTTCATTCGCAATTGGATCCATCTAAACATTTATTTGAGTGTGACAAACATATTCTGTAATTGTGTACTTGGGTCTCCACTTTTGCCATGTCCTCTATTGACTTTAACAAACTTATCTCTCAGGTTTTTCCAAACTTTTTAACAAAATCTTTCCTCCTTTTCCACGACTGTTGCAATTTCTAGCCAGGAATTATTGGTCATCTCTATTATTGGTCATCTCTATCATTGGCTTATCTCTATGCTCATGGATCATATTGATGTTTGTACAGGTGTACTTGTTTCAAACAAAATCTCTTCAAAGTGATTTATATTCAACTCAAATGAAACGCAGTGTGCATGCACTGTTAACTCGAGTCTCAAAAAACAAAAAAAAACAAAACAAAATCATGCCGCGCACATTTAAATCGGACCTCTGCAAACTCCATGATGACGTACCATTCGCCGCGTGCACTAAAGGGAATGCGTCAAGGCTTAAGACTGGGGAATGCACCATTTCAAAAAGCATATAACACATACAACCAACAAACCAACTTTTTTCCATTTGGAAAACAAAAGTTATTAATATTAGTTCTTGGATGCAGTCCTCCAAGCTCATGGGAGGCATACACAATATTAAATATTCTTCCACTGCACCATGACTTCATATTGTACTATTCCTAAATAATAACTAAAAATCAAGGCATGCTTAGATTTTATTTTGGTAAAATAAGTGTAAGAGGCCTTCGCCTTTTAAATGAGCCACTTCTGATACCAAAGCTATTGTTTAGCAGTATTATACTGCATATTAAGTGAAGTTTATTCATGAACTAATTTCGAGAGGATCACGTGCTTATGATTTATCACGGCCGGTCCCGTATTTGCTAATCATTATCTTCCAATCACATGAGCCCTAAGCTACTATAAATAACCACAGTTTTCATCTCATTTACATTCGTTTGGAAGAAACCCCCCTCCTCCGCTATTTTCCTCCTTTACCTCTGATTGGGCGGCACGGCAGCCCAGTGGTTAGCACTGTGAGCCCCACAGCAAGAACACTGCCGGCCCTGGTCCCTTAGGGCCGGTGGGTGTTTCTGTGAGGAGTTTGTATGTTCTCCCCGTGTCCGCGTGGGTTTTCCCCGGGTTCTCCGGTTTCCTCCCACCATCCAAAGACATTCAACACGTATAACAATCAGGCATTTGTCTAACCCCTTGTGTTCCCTTAGCTACCGCAGCAGGGGAGTTCTGAGATCCACCGAGCTCAGGCTCCCCTCTCGCACTGCCAACGGGAGGAAGCCCCGGGCTCGAGGATCCTTTGAGCTCGGGGCTCTCTCCCGGGACGGCATGCCAAACAAGCTTTTATAAATCATCAGCTAAGTGTGAACTCTTGAAACTTAAAAAAGGATGAAAAGTTGACCCAACCTAAAACCTCCAATGCAGCTACTTGCCTCATATTTTTAAGTCAGATATATTTATTACTTTTCAATCAGTATAATTCGATTGATTGACAGACCTATTATATAACCATCCTCAGAATGAAATCCTTGCAACTCTACATTTCAGTACTCGATATTACACCAAAAAGAGTGCGCAAATGGTTTCATATCTGGATTAAACTGCACGTCTGATTCAGCTCCTGGCAGTAAACCAGCTGTACAACTTTATAAAGTACCTTCCTTGTGCTTTTTTGTCCC